ACTGTTTAAAAGGGATATGTGATTAGGTATTTTTGACATGACAGGAGTCTAGAGCGAAGGCTGCATGGTGGAGAGGACCTGGGGGAGGGTTTGTAAAACAATGAAAGAATTTTTGTTTAGCTTTTACAGGATGGTAGTATACTGGGGTGGGGGAAGGTTGGGAGGCGGGGAAAGTGCAACAATGAATGAATGGAAATAAAAAAAAAACCCTCAGGTAAACATGAAAAGAATTTTTTGAGATGGTCTCTAAGGTGGTTGTTGTTGGTAGGTGCTGTCGTGTCGTCTGTGACTCGCAGTAACCCTGTGACAGTAGATCTAACCTTGCCCTGTCCTGCATGATCTCTGTCACGCTCAGGCCTTTCCCAGAAAGCTGTCTCTCTCTACGCACTGGTTCCTCCTGGAGAAACTACACTCAACGGAAACAAGATGCAGTGTCACCTTCCTCGTCTCTAAGACGTGCTCTGCTTGCACTTCCTCCAAGATAGATCCGTTTGTTCTTTCAGCAGTCCAGGGTATGTGGAAAACTCTTCTCCAACACCACATTCAAAGGCATTGATTCTTCTTCAATCTTCTTCATTTGTTATCCAACTTTCAGATACATGGAAAATAGTTAAAAATATCATGGCTTGGCACATCTTAGTTTTTAAACCTACATTGGAGGTTCTTAGAAAACCTTAGAGATACTGCAAGAACCTGAAAATTTAGTTGTAGTTTTTGTTGTTGTTAGGTGTTGTCAAGTTGGGTACAACTCACAGCGATCCTAATAATCTGAACTGTGTCCTGTCCTGCGCCATCCTCACACTTCCTGACACACTAGAGCCCATTGCAGCAGTCACTGTGTCAGTTCACCTGGTTGAGGGTCTTCCTCTCCTTTGCCAACCCTCCACCCTTCCCAGCATCATCTCCTTCTCCAAGGAATAGCCCCTCCTAGCAACATGTTCAAAGTATGTGAGGCAATGCCTCGTCCTTCTTGTCTCTAAAGAGCGCTAAGACTGCACCCTCTCCAAGACGTATCTGCTCGTTCTTTTGGCCGTCCATGGGATGTTCAGTGCTCTTCTCCAACATCACAGCTCAAAGGCATTAGTTCTTCTTCTGTCATCTTTATTCATTGTCCAACTCTCAGGTGCATAGCAAGCGATCGGAAAGACCACAGCCTGAATCAGACACAACTTACATCATTACTCCTCAATAACTTGGAGAGATCCCTAACTGCAGTTTTTCCAGTGCAATGTGTCTCCTGAGTTTCTGACTGCTGGTACCAAGGGTCTCAATTGTGTTGTAATGAGAGATGGCCAAAAAGATTGAGACTTAGCAATTTCAGCTTGTTCAGTTCCACAATCAACATCCTTGGCGACAGCAGTCAGGAAATCAAAAGACAAAGTGCATTAGGAAAATCTGTTGTCAAGGACCTTTCCAGAGTGCTGAAGAACAAGGATGTCAATCTAGAAACTAAGGTGCACCTGATCCAGACCATGGCTTTTGCAGTTACTTGTTATGCATCAGAAAGCTGGACAAAGACCAAAGATGACAGAAGAAGAATAGATGTCTTTGAGTTGTGGTGCTGGAGAAGAGTATTGAACATATCATGGACCGCCAAGACGAATCTATCTTGGAGAGCATGAAACCAAGAGGCAAGTATTTTGAAGGTCCATCTCACATACTTTGAGCATGTTTCCAGGAGGGACCAGTTCTTGGAGAAGGACATCATGTTTAGAAGGGTGGAGCAACAGCGCAAGAGAAGAAGACCCTGGATGAGATAGATTGACACAGTAACTGGGATAAAGGGTGTAGGTGTGTCAGAGACAGTGAGACTGTCTCAGGATAAAGCAGGGTTCAGAGCAATTGTGCATGGGGTCACTATTAATTGTAGTTGACTCAGTGGCACATAACAAGAAGCATGTGTCAGGATGGCACCTTCTCACACACTATTTAATCTGTTGAGTAAATACTACTACCAGCTGGACCACTTGAAGAATGTGACATGAGGATTAGGGAAAAACGCATCACCAACTTGAGATTTGCAGAGGAGGCAACCTTGCTCGCTGATGAAATCAAGGAAGACGCGAAGCACTTACTGAAAAAGATCAAAGCCTTCCGTATGGATTACATCTCACATAAACAAAGCAAGGAGCCTTGCAACTGTACAAATAGTGACATTGTGATAAACAGAGAAAAGATTAAAGTTGTCAAGGATCTCATGTCTCTTGGATCTCTAATGACTGCCCATGAAAGCAGCAATCAAGAAATCAAACTATGTAGTGACTAGACTTTATCTGTTGTGGAGAAACTCCTTAAAGGGCTGAAGATGTCACTTTGAGGACAAAGGTGCACCCAATCACCGCATAAGCATGTGAACATTGACCAGTGAATAATGAAGTCTGGAAGGAGAACTGATACCTTTTAACTGGGGCTTTGGTGAAGAGGATTGACTATTGCATGGAATGCCAGAGTAAAGAAATCTGTCTTGGTAGAAGAGTAGCTGAACGCCCCTTGGAAGTGAGTTGAGACTTGGTCTCGCATGTCTGGGACAAGTTATCACAAGGGGTCATTTCCTGGAGAAGAACCTCATGCCTTGCACACCCATGTTCATCGTGGCTTTGTTCACAATAGCAAAGAGCTGGAAACAACCCAAGTGCCCATCAACAAACGAATGGGTAGAGAAGCTCTGGTATATTCACACAGTGGAATACTATGCTGCATTGAAAAACAAGGAACTCATGAAATATTATACAAAATGAATGACCCTGGAGGACATTATGCTGAGTGAAATATTTCAGTCACAAAAGGACAAATATTGCATAGAGTCATTGTTGTAAAACGGGACTGACATCAGGATTGAGGGACGACAGAGACGGAGGGGAGGAATGATGTATACTGCATTAAAACAGATGAGGGAGAGAACTCTTTAAAAGGGATATATGATTAAGTATTATTGTGATGATAGGAGTCCAGAACGAAGGCTTCACAGTGGAGTGGACTTGGGGAGCAATGAAAGAGTTTTCCTTTTCAAGGAGAAGAGTGAATTGCGGGGAGGGGTGGGCAGAGAGAAAAGTGTAACAATGAATGAATGGAAACCCAAAGTCTCTGTAAACTTTCATTAAAAATAATAAAAAAAGAACCTCATGCTTGGTGACGTGGAGGGTGAGGCAAGAAGAGGAAGACCCTCACTGGGGTTGAGAGACATGGTGGCTGTAACCATGGGCTCGTGTACAGCGTCAGGGGTGAAGACGGTCCAGGACTGGACAATATTTCGTTCTTTTGTACACACACTTGCTGCAAGTCGGAACTATGAGTTGGTGTGAGTTGATTTGACAGCAACTAGCAACAACAGATAGTATTCATCTCGTTGTTGTGTGCTGTCGAGTCCGAACCGACCCATAGCTGACCCTCCAGTGGATTTTCAGAGGCAGTAAATTGCACAGGAGGAGATTGCCTATCCTTCTCCTATGAAGCAGCCACTGGATTTGAACTGCAAGCCTTCAGGATTGCAGCTCAGCGTCTTACCACTAGGCCATCAGAGCCCCAGTACTTATCTTCTTGTTATGTGCCATTGAGTCAACCACAACTCATAATGACTCTGTGAACAATGGCTCTGAGCCCTGCCCTATCCTGAGCTAACCTCATCATCTCTGGCACACCCTCCGCATTACCCTAGTCACTGTGTCAACCCATGCCACCCAGGGTCTTCCTCTCCTGTGCTGTCCCTCCACCCTTCCAAACATGGTGTCCTTCTGCAAGGACTGGTTCCTCCTGGCCACATGCCCAAAGTGTGTGAGATGGATCTTCACAGCCCTTGCCTCCAAGGAGCAGCCTGGTTTCACCCTCTCCAGGACAGACCTGTTTGTTCTCTTGGCAGTCCATGGTATATTCACCACTCTTCTCCTGAACACACCTGTGAGTTCTCTTGGTGGTCCACGGGACTCATCTTGTTGTTGTTGTTGTTATGTGCCGTCGAGTCGCTTGCAACTCATAGCGACCTTATGTACAACAGCCCTAAACTCCGCTCTGTCCTGTGCCAATCATACTGTCTCTGACACTCCCATCCCAATTATCCCAGTCACTGAATCAGTCCACCTCATAGAGGGCCTTCCTCTCCTGCGCTGTCCCTCCACCCTCCCAAGCATGATGTCCCTCTCTAAGGACCGGTCTCTCCTCACAACATGTCCAAAGTATGTTAGACAGAGCCTCAGAATCCTTACCTCCAAGGAGCCATCTGGTTTAACCCTTTCCAGGACAAATCTGTTTGTTTTCCTAGTAGCCCATGGTATTCTCAATACTCTTCTCCAGCACCACAGCTCAAAGGCATCAATTCTCCTTCTATCCTCTTTGGTCATTGTCCAACTCTCTGATGCATAACAAGTGATTCATCTTAGGGGCTCATTATTGCTGTGATGATGACAACAGTCTGGTTAAGCACTGGGGAGCCCTGATGGTAGAGAATGTGAAAGGTTGGAGGTTCAAACCCACCAGCTCGACCTGAGGAAGATGTGACAACCTGCTTTCAATAGATTTCCAGCCTTGGGTAGCCAGTGGGGCAGCTCTGCTGAGTCAGCATTGATACATGGCTTGGGCTGGGTACTGAACTGCTCACCAAGTGGTTGGAGTTCAGACCCTCCCGAGGTGCCCATGGAGAAAGTTCTGGTAACTCTCCTCCCACTGTCACAGTCATTGGAAAAGGCTGCAGAGCACAGGTCTACACGCATGCACACATGATTGTCATCCTGAAAACGGACCCCCGGCCTCCAGGTGACCCAGGTGGACACTGCTTCCCCCCTCACTGTGTTAGCTCCACTTGATTCTTTTCTGTTCTAAATAATCAGGCTCTGACCAAATTGGTGCAGCCACGGCCACGGAGCAGCCCAGCAGGTTTTTTTGTCTCGCCTGCCTCAGGGCAGAGGGTGGCCTCTCCCTGCCCGCCCGCCGCCTCTCCAGGGTTGACACTCCCAGGCTCACCTGCCAGTCTGCCAGATGCAGCCAGCAGGCAGCGGGCAGCAGCCACGATGCCCAGCATCTTCGCCTACCAGAGCTCGGAGGTGGACTGGTGTGAGAGCAACTATCTGTACTCAGAGCTGGTGGCCGAGTTCTTCAACACGGTGAGGGGCTGCGCAGCTGGGCGCATGGGAAGGCTGGTGACTGAGGCGTGCCTCCAGCCGGGGTTCAGACCTGTCCTCACTGGGGAATCTCGCTCGAGCAGTTCTCCTCTCTGAGCCTGTGGTTTCTCCTGTCTTCAGTGATGGCATCCATCCACTGGTGGATTCGGGCAGCTGACTCCTTCTTGGGCACCCAGGGCGCATTCTGGACACACAGCAGTGACCACAAGGAGCTGGTCTCTGCCCACACAGGGGTCACTGGCCGGGGGGAAAGACAGCAGGACCACAGGCAGGGAAGAATTCCTGGAGGTGTGACTGCCTCATTTGTTCTTGGGATTAAGTCTTGGGCTGATAGAGAAAAGGCTGGCAGTTCAGATCCACCAGCTGCTCTAAGGAAGG